TAAAAACGAAAAAAAATGGAAATAGAAAGAAGCAGTCAATGCTCTAATTAGCTTCGTCTCCTTTTTTTCAATTGTTTGTACTTTTTCTTTTCTTAATTACTTATACATTGCTCCAGTTTTTTCTTCTTCCGATATCTGGTAATATGAATAGCTGGTTGTAAGACAATACCATGTATTACAACAAATACTGTGAAATTCATATTACTTTAAGTAAAATTCGGTATGAGTTTTCAAAAAAAAAAAAAGCTGAAAAAAATGTTCAACAGCATTGGTCATTTGAGAAATGCAAATTAAACAACACTGAGGTTCCATCTCACCTTAGAAAGAAGGGCTATCATCAAGAAATCAACTAACAACAAATGCTGGAGAAGGAAAAAACTCTTTTCCACTGCTGGTGGGAGTGTAGACTGGTACAACCTCTGTGGAAATCAGTATGGAGATTCCTCAAAAAACTTAGGTTAGAAGGCTCTATTTGGCCAGCTATTCCTCTTCTGGATATTTTTCCAGAAAAACTGAAAGCATCATATCACAGTGATATATGTGCACCCATGTTTACAGCAGCACAATTTGTCATAGCCAAATCTGGGAAGCAGCCCAAATGCCCATCAACTGAGGAATGGATAAAAAAAGATGTGGTATTTTTATATAATGAAGTATTTCTCATCTATAAAGAAAGACAAACTTGAGGCTTTTATAGATAAATGTATGTAACTAGAGGCTGCACTCATAAGTGCAATAAAGCAGACTCGCATATGCAAACATTGTATTGTCTCACTAGTGTAAGCACTTGAAAGAGTAAAACCTGAAAGGTACAATAGATACTGTGGGGCTGGTGAGAGGGCTCAGTGGTCTAAAGCACCTACTTAGAATAAGCTTAGCAAAGCAAAGGGACCACGTTCAATCCCCCAGCACCACATGCCAGCCAACCCTGCCCCCTGGTGGGCTGAGCTGGCCACACACACACACACACACACACACACACGAATAAAAATTAAAAAAAAAATACTGTGAAAGGAAAAGAAACTGATAAAAAGAACAATTCGCATACGGGAAAGAAGAAAAAAAAAGAAGGGGTAAAACATTTATATATATACACACAGGATAGCTAGGATGATTGTACTACCAGTATCTATTGGTTTTTTGAAGAGAACAGTTAATGCTTAAAATTTTCATTTTATGTGCTTATATCTGATAATCTGAGCAACTTCTTTGAAGACAACAATGTGCAACATAACAACCATTGCTGAATTCCTATCTTTTTTTAAAATTCCATATCATTTGTAATGTTTTATCTGTTTTTTGTTTAAAATAAACAAAATTCATTACTTAAGTTTCTCAATTCTGATACTTTTAACTAGTTACAAAAATTAACATCGATATTAAGTGATATAAATTTCAATAATCGTAAAATAAAAGTGTTGTTCTCCACAATAACTTTAGGTAACAAAATATTTTGGGATAAGAGAGAACATTCAACCATTTATTTAAATTGAAAATATTTACATTCTAAAGAACAATTAGCCAATGATTTTTGTATAGTCATAGGAAAATTAAGACTGTACTCAAGATAAGAAGCCAGGACTCTAATGGATGGTTCTAAGAGAATAAATCAATAACCTTCTATATTAAATTCTTCTATCTTTAGTGTTGAGATTCAACAAAATATGGCATTACATATCCAGACTGCTCTACCTTAGAAGGGACATTTTCTCGGCATACAATAGCATGGCCCTCTGTTCTCAAGACATGATGGAAATAAATGTCTTCTTTAGAGGATGTGTCACACAGAAAAATGTTAAGTATTCCATCTATATATTCATCTACTACTCCCACTAATGGCTTCAAACCACACAACTTCTGGAACTGTAAAATAGCTCTGGATGTCCAGTGTTCCTGAAATAAAATCAAGATACCAGATTTAAGTGAGAGGTTTAAACATGAATTACAGCAACCATACACAAAAATGAGTTCCTCATTAAATACAACTATTTAGGGTATTTACACTTTAGAATTTTAAAAGTCAGAATGAAGAAAAAAAATGAAAAAAAAATCTTTAAATAATGTTTAAAGAACTGATTTTTTAAAATAGTTAAGATTAAACCAATCCTCCTACAGAAAAGAAAACCTCTAGAAAGTCTGGCTAAAATATTATTAAAATTTTTCAAATATTATTTTTAATGTGTCTAAAATATACAAAAAAAATTAACAAAGTAGTAACAATTACCAGGCCAAGACTGAAGGAAAAGTAAGAACTACTTTTATTATAAGAGTATTGCTAATCTAAGAAAATCCAAATTTTGGTTTTGATGGTCTAACAAGTAAAAGGGGAAAGATGTCAAAATTAGGGTCTGTCCTGAAAGGAGTCATGAGATATGCCCTTCAGTAACCCCAAGTACTACAGGGTTACGGGAGATTTTTAAAAAACTCTTCAAGTTGTTCTTTTGATCGATTTTCAAGTTCAGACTGTCCTGCTGTTTCTGAATCTGCTATCAAGCCTATCCAAAACTTTTCATTTATTTTCTCCATAATTTCCAATTATTATAATTTCCTCCAGAAATTCCTTATCTGTTAATTATGTTCAAGTTCTTGAACATAGTCATAATAGCTAATTAAAAGTTCTTGTCTACCTACTGCAACATACAGACCGTTTCAGTGTCAGTTTCTACTAATTACATTTTTCCTTGAGAATACCACCTATTTGTGTTTCTTTGCGTGTTTAGAGATTTTTAATTGGATGATCAACACTATCATTATAAAGGTTATAGATTGCATTATGCTCTGAAAAATGTTTTTTGTTATTACTTAACAAGTAGTTAAATTGATGGTACAAATGCCTGTAATCCCAAAATTGTAGGAGGCTGGGGCAGAAGGATTGCAAGTTCCAGTAAGGCCTATGCAATTTAGACCTTGTCAAAAAAATAAAATTAAATAAAAATGAAATGGCTTGGAATGTAACTCTGAAGGCTTTGGATTCAATCCCCAGTACCACAAAAATGAACAACAAATAGTTGTCTGGACTTAAAACTCTAAACTTTTTTTTTTTGAGAAAACATGCTGTTATTTATTTAACCAACTCTCTACTGTTAAATCGTTAGGTTGCCATTCAGAAAATTTCTCACTTTTTAAAAGTTGTTTGTTTGCTTTTTTGCTTGCTTGCTTTCTTTTCTTTTAATTGTTTTAATAGACTGCAAATTGAAAATAAACTATTCACAAACATAACTGAATATAACAATAAAAACTGTCCAAAATAAAAATGAATTTACAGATCAGTCATAATAGTTCACTGTGTCAAAACCAAGAAA